GATTGAGACCGGTAGGATTATCGCACACACATCATATGGAACGGTCTGTATTTGTTCTTGCTGGCTGAGGATGCATTTTTACAGTTCTCCTGCTGGAACAGGCTAGGGACTGTCAGAGCACAGAATGGGAACTCAATGAGAATCATACCATGTGATAAAATACGTTACATTCGGTTCACATTACGTACCCATTATGTTACGAGAACACAGTGCAATAAGCTTAGTAGATGCGAGAGGGAAGGTTTGAGATGTTCAGATTGTTTAGATAGAAAATGCTCATTAATCAGGCAACAGCTCTGAGAGGCTGCCAGGCCATAAATAATCCAGCAACTCCCTTTGGACTGTTGTTGACAACTGACCATTTAGGAGAAAGCAATACTCTCATCTCTTGATTCCCGGCTCATGTTTCTGAAGAACCTTGGACCTCGCATTGTAAATTGACCACGCTACCTGATGCTTTCTTGGATTGAAGCCTTGACTTCCTTGCTGTACCCTAATGACTTGGATTACCTGGACACTGAAAACTGTAACTGGCTGGTAAGCTTCTGTACCCAACTGGGTCTGCTACTGTTTTGTCTCTAATGGACTGTGCTTAGTATTTTGCCCTGGGCTGGCTTTCAAGACAGGATAGGATGGAAAAAACATGAGAATTAAAAGAAATAAAACAAAAGCATATGTGAGAAAATAACAAAACACATTATTTCATCTATCCTTTGAGTTCGTAAGGCTGTTTTTTTCGTTAAATGCCTGGGCATTCAATCCAATTATTGCTGAATTAAAGCTGCTACCTCTTTTATTTTTCCTTTTTGCTTCTCATCTTTAACATCTTTAGACAGATGGAATTCCAACCGGTAGCCTTCCAACATATTAGATTCCAGCTCCCATCAGTCTCCTACCAGTATGAAGGCTGATGGGAGTTGTAATCCATAACATCTGCAGAGTCACTTCAGATCTTTTCAGTATGAAGGAGCATGCAGTCAGGGGAATACACACATTAGTTACCAAGATATAGGTTTATCACTTCTGGGAAAATGGGGCTCATGCCTTCCCCACCTCCACTCTGTTGCATGTTTCACCCCATAGCCTGAACTTGTTCCCAGAAGCAAGGGAAACAGTTAGAGGGTCTCTAAAGACTCTTAGCTTTGGTCCCTCAAGAACCTGCAGCTGGACCTGCCTGGCTTTATTTGAAAGGTAAAGCTCTCATTTCTAGTCACACTTTATTCCTGGCTGGCTGCCACAGTCTTTGGTGGATAGGACAGGTCATGACAAAATTTAATTATCATTGCTGAATTTTTTGAATAGCTGCTCCCATAGGGCTCTGAACGGATGAGTGCATGAGATGAGAATGGTGAGAGAAAAGAATTATTGCATTGTCCTCTCTTTGGTGCCATTGCCAGGGCATGCCTCTGCTTGTTCTCTTCCTGGGCCATGTCAGGAATTGGACCCTTTGGCACAAGTATTCTTTTTTTGCAAGGATGCCAATTAAAACCCAGTAGTTCTGGGATATCATTGATAGTTCAGGGAAAGCAGGCAATTGTATGCTTGGGAGGACATGATGCTGGTTTCAAGGAGGAATATCCAAATCATTCAAAGCCAAGAAGAAAACCTAACCAAGGGCTCCAATGGAACAAAAGCTTCCCAGCCTAGTGTACTGCAGCTCCCACCATCCCTATCCAGCATGGCATCAGGGTGGGGGAGATTGCCATACACTATGCACTGCCTGAATTGCCCTATTGCCATGGCTCCATCTCTTCCTCCAATCACTTGAAGGCAGGCTGATGTTGGGGATGGCGTGACCTACTTTACATAGGACATTCTTCTGTTTGAAGGGTTGTTCGAGTATGAGAGCCTCTTGGATACCAGTGGAGCAGAAAGCTTACTTACACAGGGTGGTGTAAGTCTGGGAAGGGGACAACTCCTGGGAAGATGATGGGTATGGACAGAACTTTCCTGGTATATCCACCTCACGGGCAGTTGCTGGATGTTTGGGCCATGAAGAGTGCTGTACTTGACAACCATCCAGTTATTTGTGCAGAGCTAGGGGAATGTTGTGCAAGGAGATACCAAATACCTCCTTGAACAACAACATAAAAAGTTACACAAGTGTCCAAATCAGCCCAGCTTGAGAAGATAGTTGCCTTTTGGAAAGTATCCTCTGTATGAAGGGTTGTTCAGTCTGGATTTAAGGTTGTTCAGTCTGCATCTTATTTAAGGATCAAGTACCATGTGCAAAGAAATCATGGCCTTGAAATTATCCATGCACACAGATTGTACATGCACACAGTTGTTCATGCACACAGTGTTCAGCCACATAGGTCACAGCCTTCTCTGATTAGACACAGCTCTTTAGTATTCAGACAAGGATCTTACCTGAAAATGCCAGGTACTGAACCTTGAATCTTCAGCATCTAATGGGCGTATTATATTCTGGTCAGAAGGTAGTGTATTTCTGGAGCTTGGATCAGTTTTATTGGTATGCCATCAGTTCCTGTGACTTAGGGGGGTTACAGACTGCCAGAAATAGTGCAATTTGAGTCCACTTTTAGGGTTAGGGTTAGGGAATCATGGGAACTGTATTTTATTGTGGCACCAGAGCTCTCTGACAGAGAAGGCTCAATGTCTCAGAAAAAAAACCAATTCCCATGATTCCCTAGTACTAACCCTAACCCTAAAAGTAGACTCAATTTGCACTATTTCTGGCAATCTTCAACCCCCCTTATTTCTTTCCAATGGTCTGCGTGCAGCTCTCCATTTTTTAAAATTGGAGGTTCGTCTTCATATTTGTCAATATGGAAAACAAAACAACGGGCCATAGATTGGAAATGCTTGGTATACATTCCAGTCTCCAAAAAAGTGGACACTAGGGATTGCAGCAATAACACAATCATTGCAGTAATTTCACATGCAAGCAAGGCAATGCTCAAAACTGTATAACAATCTTACCATACCTGTACTGAGAAATGCCAGATATTGAAGCTCTGGATTCAGGAAAGGAAGAGGCACTAGAAATCATATAGCAAACATATGTCGGGTAATGGGACATACCAAAGAATTTAAAAAGAAATACCAGCCTGTGTTTTAAAGACTATAGCAGTGGCTCTTAACATTTTCTTTATCAGGGACCCCCTTTAAATATCTTTGTTGCCACAGATCCGATTTAAAAGCCTAATACTACTAATATCTGAACACTGAATAATAGAATAATAATTCTATTTGTTAAACCTTCCCTCAGAGGCACCAAATCGGGAAGGAA